TGGGGACATTATGTAATTTCTCTTGATGATCTGAATAATGTTAACCAAGTATTTTTTTGAGTTTAAAGTTTAATAGAGATGTGGATTTTGATTAGAATGTGAATATGAAATATGTCATATTTCTAATGAGGTATGGGAATATATTAATAATTTGTTTCATGGCATTTCAGTTTTGTTGCTTATCCACCTGTCAACTCTGAAACAGATCAGACCTGTCGCAGCCATCTTTCCGTTTCCAAAGTTGCCACACAACTGGTGGGGTGGGGCGGAAGAGGCATGGAATGCACACCAGCCAAAACAATTAGATATCTCCTGGGAAGCAAGGTCATCCAAACGGGTACTGACCAGAGACTGAAACTGGTTGCCAAGGAGACAACAGAGCATCTAATTGGACAATATGTTCTGTGACATAATGGGGAGGGGGGAGACCTAACTTTTAATAATATGAAAAAGCAGGAAATAGTCAGAGCTGTTTTTAAGTTTCATTTGTGCCGAATTGTTGTACTCAATAAACCAGTGCTTTTATTTCATTGATTCCAAAGGAGAATCAAGACCGTAGTCAACCTAAGAATTATAGGCCAATATCACTTTTAAATACTGATTATAAGATTTTTGCTAAAATATTAGCAAATAGGTTAATGGTAATCATGCAACAAATGATTCATAATGACCAATCTAGATTTATAAGTGGGAGACAAATGAAAGGTAATGTAAGACAAATTGTAAACTTATTGGAATACTTGGAAAGGAACAACCAAGTCCCTGCAGCGCTTATCTTTTTGGATGTGGAGAAGGCATTTGATCGATTGAATTGGCAATTTTTATTGAAAATAATAGAAAAGATGCAGTTTGGAGAATACTTTACACAATTTATTAGAGCAATATATTAGAGACAAACAGCACAAATAATAATTAATGGTGGTTTAACAGAAACTTTTAAAATTGAAAAAGGAACAAGACAGGGATGCCCTTTATCACCATTATTGTTTATTTTAACTTTGGAACCTTTATTGAATAAAATACGAGGGTCAAATAAAATAAAGGGAATTAAAATTAGACATCATGATTATAGATTAAGAGCATTTGCAGATGACTTGGTTGTTAACTCAACCAGTACGATCAGCTACAGGTTTAATGGATATAATTAGCCAATATGGACAAATGTCTGGATTTAAAATAAATAAACAAAAAACAAAGATAATAACTAAAAACATGATGGTAAAGCAAAAAGAAGAACTAGAAAGACTAACAGGATTTGAAATAGTAAAAAAGGTTAAATATCTAGGGGTATATATCACAGCCTCAAATGTAAAACTATATAAAAATAATATTGAAATGTTATGGCAAAAAATACAGAAAGAGATGGAGAATTGGGGAAAACTACAATTATCTTTGTTGGGAAGAATAGCAGCAATAAAAATGAATGTTCTACCTAGGTTTCTATTTTTGTTCCAAATGATACCAATACTCAAGAAAGATGAAAATTTGAGGGAATGGCAGAAGGGTACTAATAATTTTGTTTGGGCAGGGAAAAGAATAAAGGTAAAAATAATGCAAGATATACGTGAAAGAGGAGGTCTTAAAATGCCTAATTTAAGATTATACTATGAAGCAGCTGTCCTAACAATAATTAGTGATTGGATTAACTCAACAGAAGAAAGAATATTGAACATTGAAGGATATGATTTGTTATATGGCTGGCATGCTTATTTATTATATGATAAAAAGGTGGATAAGACCTTTAAAAGCCATATATTAAGGAATGCCTTGTTACGAGTTTGGAAAAAGTATCAATATAAGTTAAATTATAAGATACCTATATGGGCAATATCCAGACATGCGATAGAGAATATAAGTGTAGAACAAAAGCAAGAGGTGATTACTTATAAAGAGCTTCTTAAAATGGAAGGGGGGGGTATTGCAGTTAAAATCTTTAAATGCATTAAAAGAAGAAAGAATAATTCAAACTTGGTTTCAGTATGGTCAGTTGCAAGCTAGATGGAAAGAAGATCAGAGAATTTGTATCATGCAGAACGAAGAAAATTTGGTAAAACAAATTAGAGACCAAGGTCAAATGCATATAAAAAGAGTATACAATGTATTGATAGAAATAGATTCAGAAACAGAATTAGTTAAGGATTGTATGATAAAATGGGCACAAAATATTCAGGAACCAATAATGATGGAAACTTGGGAAAAAATATGGGTTAGAAATGTAAAATTTATGCAAGCACAAAATTTAAGAGAAATTTTTTACAAAATGTTTTATAGATGGCATTTAGATTCTAAAAAGTTGGCTTGTATGTATCCGAATTTACAATCTAAGTGTTGGAGATGTGATTGTGATGATGCCACTTATTATCATATATGGTGGACTTGTAAAAAAGTTAAAGCATTTTGGATTAAAATATGGTGGATTATCCAAAATATTCTTAAAAAGAAGATAAAGTTTACTCCACAATTGTTTTTGTTGGGTATAATTACAGATTGTACGGTTATAGAGACTAAATTGATTTTAAATTTAATAACTGCAGCTAGACTTTTGGTGGCGCAATATTGGAAGAAGGAAGATTTGCCTACTATTGAAGAATGGACATTAAAAGTAGCGAATCTGGCAGAAATGGCGAAGATTTCAGCATATTTGAAAGATCACTCACAAGAAAGATATATATTGGAATGGAGAAGATGGATTGATTATATTCAAAACAAATATCGGACTAAAAAGTATCAAATAGCTTATGAATGAATAGAAAAATTAAGAGTATTTATATTTAGTTAAGTAAAAGGGGAGTTAAAGTGTGAAGGGGGGATAGGAATCCTTAGTTTATTAGCTTAGTTTAGCATATGATTGTTAATTGTTATACCCCGTATTTTGTTCTGGGAAGTTCGGGGGTGGCGTGGGGGGGGGGGGTAAGGAAGGGAGGGGGGGAGGGGGAAATACTTGTAAAAAAAAATTGTTTTTTTTTCTTTCTGTAAAACTCTTTAATAATAATAAAAAAATAAACCAGTGATTTGAAGAAGATGGGAGTCTCAGAATGCTGAATTGCTTGGGTTTGTCAGTCGGAACTTTGGCACTGATCATCACCATCTTCTGAGATACCTGAGTCAATCTTATAGCCAATTCAGCAGAAATATTTTGCTTTGTTTAATACAGAAACAACTTGAAGCAATACAACTGTATCAGAAGAAATAATTAAAGGATACAATAAGGAACAAGGAAAGAATGAGGATTGTTGGGTTTCATAGAATTCTGTGAAAATAATAGTAATACAGGAAGTCCTTGACTTACAACTGAAATGGAGTCTGCCCATTACGGTTTCAAGTGGTGATGGTAAATGAGACAGCCTTGCTTAATGATTCCCCCACCCCTTACTCTTCCAGATGTGGCTGTTAAACAAATGCATGAGCCATTATGCGGAGCATGGGTAGAGGTCCAGGAAGGTCTAGTGCAAGCCGAGGCCCACCTGACTTGAGCTACCCAAGGCCTTCCCCACCCCGAGGCACTCTATGCTCTGCTCCTTGGATCCTTGCAGGCTTTTGTCTGCTCCCAACTTGGCCATTCAGTCACCAAAATGAGCCTAAAGCTGGGCAGCAGAAGCTATCAGTGTGTGAGGAGCTGTTAGAGCTTGGAGGGCAAGGCCTGCTTTCTTTCAGCCACCCAGGGACTTGCAGGACTTGGCCTGCTCCTCACCCAGCTCCAAGGTCCAGCAGCACCCAACTTACCTTTCTGGTTTTTGCAAAGTGGCACCTGGCCGATGTGAGGCTCTAACACAGGGGTGTTAAACTCAATGGCCGCAGGCCGCATCCTGCTCATGAGATGCTTAGATCTGGCCCATGGGGCTGCCCTGGAAACAGTGAAGGACTGGCCCACGGTGCCTCTGCCAGAGAAAATGGAGCTTGGGGAGACCGTGAACGGCCTGCCCAGGCTCCATTTTCAGTCACGACGGCCTCCTGCAGCCTTCTGCCAGCGAAAACAAAGCTTGGGGAGGCTGCGCACAGACCTCCAGGCTCCATTTTCGCTGGCAGAGGGCTACAGGAGTCGCAGCTGAAAACAGAGCCTCAACGAGTGATGTCAAGCTGGCCATGCCCATTCCTGCACCCGCCCCCTCCGAGGTAAAACACAACCCTGATGCGGCCCTCAATGAAATTGAATTTGATGCCCCTGCTCTAACAGCTCCACACACACTGGTAGCTTCTGGTGCCTGACTTTAGGCTCCTTTGGCTCGATGGCTGGATGGGAAGAAGGCCTCAGCCTACAAGCTCCAAAGCTCCTTAAGGACCAATAGCTTCTACTGCCCAACTTTAGGTTCCCTTAGGTCAGGGGTCAGCAACCTACGGCTCTGGAGCCACATGTGGCTCTTTCAGCCCTCTGCTGCGGCTCCCTGTCACTCAAAATATGCATCACAAACGCCAATGTGCGACACCTGTCGGCACGCAATTTATTGAGCTTTTCAACCTCCAGTAGGCTACCCATGGATAAATCCAAGAAAAGAAAAGTTTCAGAAGAAAACAGAACATTTAATTCAACTACATATGCTAGTTTTGTGGCCACTCATGAAATTGTTAGGCACAGGAAGGGTTTTGTGGCTCCCGGTGTTTTCTTTTCTGTGGGAAACGGGTCCAAATGGCTCTTTTGAGTGTTTAAGGTTGCAGACCCCTGCCTTAGGTAGCTGATGGCTGAGCAGGCCAAAGTCTGTAGAGAACCAGCAGGCTGTTTGGGGGAGATAGGTGTGGGGGCTGTAGTCCCTGCTGTTGGTTGTAACAGTAAACAACTACAGGCTCATTGCAACAGACAAAACTTTGAAACCAGGTCTTAGGTAACTTTGGGGAGGGGGGGGTCTGTAGTACCTTTGAATGGTTGCTATTCAACTGGCCATAATCGAAGATTACTTGTACACAGATAATATTTCAGAGACCAACATTTCCAAAACATTTCTAATTTACAAAAAGGAATTTTTAACTGTAGAACAGGGTACAAATTTTAGAAATCAAAAACTTACCTTCTTCTTCTTCTTCAGTACCACTTTCACACCATCTACAGATACCAACAGATTCACTTTCTTCTTCTTTATACTTTTGGCTTTGAATTCATACTGTCAGGTGTGAAACACAGGTGTTAGTAAGGCCTAACTTCAGCACTGTTCAGCAAACAATAGGACATGTCAACTTGTGCTGGGCCTACCTCATTTTCTCACAGCTCTTACTGTCCCCCTTATAGCCACTTAATCATTAAGGCACACAACCCCCTTCCGCAACAAATGATCTGCAAGCCCGTGCTACATTTCTGGGTCTCTATGATGCAATTGGATTTATGGAGTCTTTGCAAGTTGACTCAATTCAATTCAGCTCAGTAACTGCTTCAAAGAAAAGCGGGAACATAAGAGTTTTGCAATGGGCAGTTTTCCCATTGGCAGTTCCTGCAATTTCCATACTCCCTTGCAGTTTGCCAATAATCTTTGGAGAAGTAGCTTTGCTACTTGACACAACATAGGAGAACAAACCCATCAGGATTAGATTCAGCAGTCCATCTGTATTTAAAACACACAGCCCATTCTTTTGAAGACAGCTAAGTCCACATTTTGGACAGAACCGCTGGTTTGAAAGAGCGGTCAAAGAGGCCATCTATTTCAAAATTTAACAGCCCTCTCTCAACAGGGGGAAGAATACGACATCATCCAGTCTACAACACAGTCCTTTCAACAGTTTCAAGAAGGTGCCACACCCATTTGCACTACTCAGATGACCTTGTCAACACAGATAAACCTCTTGAAAAAGCAACTTTGGGACAACCATGACCGGGATGACTGAGAATCTCCAGACAAGTAACTTTGCAGTTTTCCCTCTCCCAGCACCATTTTCTTTTGCTACCAACAGCTGGAATGCATATTTAAAGTATACAGAATAACAGATAACAGGGAATCTTGGAGAGCTTCTAATAGAATAACAGTTCAACTCCCCGTTCAAGCAGGAGACTATACCATTTCACACAAATGGCTGTCCAGTGTCTTCTTAAAAGCTTCCAGTGATGGAGTACCCACAAATTCTGAAAGCAAGCTATTTCACTGGTTAATTGTTCTCACTGTCAGGAAATTTTTCCTTATTTTTACCATGTTTCTCTGAAATTAAGACCCAGTTTTATATTTTTTTCCTTCCAAAAGATGCATTAGGGCTTATTTTCAGGAAAACATGATACCGGAGATGGTGAGGGACCAGCCCTCATTGCACTGGCTGCGGCCCTGCCTGGCTGGGGGTCCCACCTCCCCAACACGTGCACAAGAGGTGGCAAGTGCGTGGCTGTTGACAGTGTCTGGCAGCAGCTGCAGCCCACCAGCCTCTTGCTTTGGGGCTGTGCAGCCCACCCCACCCAGGACCTGATGAAAGGGAAGGGAGTGGAGTCTCGACTGCCTCTTGGGGACTCCTGCCATTGCAGGTGGGGAGGTGGGTGGGAGGATCGTCCTGCATGTGTGGCGGAATTGGAGGATGAATTGGATGGTGGGGGGGGCGAGTGTGCAGGGTCTGCAGCACAGCACCACCCCTGTTCCGCCACCTGCCTCGCCTCACCTCACAGTGGCAGCAGCACTAGCAGGCAGAGGCAGAGGAATGGGTGGGGAGGCACGCGATCCAGCCCACTGGTCATGTCATGCGGCCACCTGCCCTGTCATGGACATGGGCAAGCAAAGACAGATCATGCTTCTGTTTCAGCGGTTTGGTTGCCAGAATGGACTTGTACAGGGATGATGTTTCCTACACTGACTGTTTTGGAAGTGGGTGGTCACTGTACCGATTGGCTCTTTCAGTCTTATACTCTTGTCCCATTGGCTGGAACAATAGGCTAGAAAAAAATGACTGAAAACTTGTTGTACACCCATTGAATCTAAAAAATCCTGATAGAACAGTTTCCACCCTTCACTTTCATGACTCTAATTTGAAGTCCTGAAATGTCACAAGACCTGAAGTTCAGGATTGCTCTCCATAATGTGGTTTTTTTTTTTTCAGTACCATAAATAAAATAGAAAGATATCTCTTAAGCTCTCTTCTGAGGTGTACACTTTAGCAAGCCAACATACTGTGTTAATTCTTTATTGCCCTTTCCATCCTGAGATTTCTTTTATTTTAGAATTCATGTTATTTTAAAAGATAGAGAATGGAGAAATTGCCTTTGACTTTCTTCTAACTTTTACTCTGTCATTTCAGGCCAAATCATCATGAAGAGTGTTTTAGGAGTCTGATTCAAGTGTGTTATGGTTTCTATTATTGCTAGTATTATTGTTATTCTGTTGAAATAACATTATTTATAGTATCTCACATTCAACTGATATGACATGAAGTAGTGTATGCATAATTTTAGGGCAGGATTATATAAATTTTAAAACCATATTTATTAAGTTCTTTTTTGAACTTTTACACCAATAAAAATGTTATGGTTATATGTAATTTATGTATATGTAATTTGTCAACAATTCCAAAGTGGGAAAGCTAAAGCTAGCTGGGAAAAGTCCATACATTTTCAAGCAGCCAAAGATTAGAAACACTGGTACATACCCTCTGTACTACCTTTATTGATTTTTTAAAACCCATTAAGGAAAGTAAAAGGTGAAAGAGGGATAAACAGGAAAAATGTGGAGCATTTCAGTAGTAAAACACACTTATGAGATATTTTTTAAAGATCTTTTACCGGGATTGGTTTTTGTGTGCTTTATTTCTACTTATAATGACTGTGCAACAAAATCCTCTGGGGCCTGGAAGCTATGAGGATTTGGGAGGGGTGTGTGTGTCAGATTAAATTTTAGCAAAACAGAATTTCTAGTCATCAGGTGACATCTGGGCAATCTTGTAACATCAGTAATCATTCTTGAATACCTCAGCATTCTATGGTTGAGGGCTTTGATTCATTAACATTGTTTGTATTTGTGCAAATCTTGAGGTCATCCATACCATAGTTTGCTATAATGTATATGCTGCTAAACTAAATATAAAGTTTATATTTCAAACCTCCATTGCTTCATTGTTGTGAGCACACAATGAATCTAGGACAGATTTCAGAGCAAAATAAAATGAAAGGATAGAGCCTAAGACATATCATCAGGAAAAGAAAATTGCATTAATGTTTAGTATTTTGGTAGAATGGGGTTAACAAATGGAATTCAAGTTAATTCTCAAACACTGTGTGGAGCATCTTGGCAGCAGATCACAAAATCCTTAACACAGGCAAAGGTGAAAGGTCACAATTTACAGCAATTCCAAGCATTCCAGACAAATGCCAAAGCCACCCCACCCCCCACCCCCAGCTGCTACTCTTGATGCAAAGCAAGGAGAGGTGGGAGAAATATAAAGCAGAGCAGGAAACGGAGGAGTTGGGAAGTGTTCCAACTGGCAAAATCAGGCAGGTGAAAAAGCATGAGCAGAATATCAAATCAGCCTGTCCTTTCCAGTTTTCAGTAGAGACAAACAAGCAGATGACTTGAAGAAACAGGGAGAAAGCCTAAACAATTCTTCATCTTTCAGATGAAACAACTTTTCATCTAAAAGTCCCGAGCTCTCCTGAAAACTGAACTAAGAATACTGGTATAGCTCTCAGTCACTCACACTAAGGGTGCCCAACCTTTTTGAGATAATGAATATACTTAAAATGTTAAAAGCATATTACAGGCACTTTCACAAAACCTTTGCCATAGTGTGCTGTCAATCATAAAGCACCAATATACCAAAAAGGAAACAAAGTATTGACCTACACGTGCCCATCATTTTATTTTCTAAGCTGCTTCTGATATTGTAAATACAGAACATGCTTAAAACTGGTTTTGGTTTTACTTCCACACAGATCTTATAGCTAGCAAAATTTTCCGAAATGGATATCATATGATTTATTCCAGGGGTGAAATCTAAAATTTGTTACTACCAGTTCTGTGGGCGTGGCTTGGTGGTGGTGGAGAGTAATGTGACTGGGTGGGCATGGCCAACTTTTTTTTTACTTTTAAAAGCATTTTTTTTTTACAACCGTAAGAGGTTGCAGAAAAAAATGCTTTTAGAAGCCTCTGATGATCAGGCAAAGCAACTGGGATCGCCAGACTTTTAAAGGCATTTTTTTTCCTACAACTTCTTCGGCTGAAGAGGTTGCAGAAAAAATGCTTTTAAAAGTAAAAAAAAACAGCCTCTGATGATCGCGTGGCTCAGTTTGGCATGGGGGGGGCGCAGGGATTTTTGCTACCGGTTCTCTGAACCACCCGCCACCATCGCTACCGGATCAGGCGATCCAGTCTGAACCGGGAGCATTTCACCCCTGATTTATTCCCTCCTAAACTCACTTTTCTGAGCATGATCCACTAAGGACTTTTCCTTCTGGTCCAACTTTATTTTTTCAATGTTACTACAAAGTAAAATAAAGAATAAAGATGACCTTGGTGCAAGTTCAATTTTTGTTGACTACATAGGTCCAACCAAGCAGTTTCTTGGCTATAGTAAGAAATTCTATAATTAATTCAAGTTCTTGTGGTAATACTTGCTTGTCTGCTTCTCCCCTCCTCTCTCCCTGTCTAATTCCATTAGGAGGAATAATAAAGGTCAAGTTGAGGGGCAGAGCAGACAGGAAAGTTGATTGTCCTTTTCTATCTATAGTCTTTCAAAAAAAATTAATAAATAAATAGGAAGGCCTGGGGAAGTTGGGCAGTGGATTGGAGAAATTATTGCCAAGGCATACAGATGACAGTGCCATTTCTCCAACATTGAGTAATGATAACTTTAAATATCCCATAATGCCACACAACGATCACTATAGTGATATCGTCACCACAAATAGTTGATGGCAATTACAGCAATAATTGGATGATGCCATCAGTCATCCAGAATAATTGGCCTGCCTGGTCTGCTCTTCAGTATATAATGTATATTGGGGGATTATCTTCTTTTAAAAAAATTAATAGTCATATAGGAATATATAGTTTTAATTAAACATATATTCTTGAAACAATAGCTTAGTTCAAGATTTATGCCACAACCAGTGTAACAATAAGTAAGTGTGATTACACAATATGGAACCTACTGTTCTCATCCAAGAATCTTCTTCAGCTCTGATTGGATGGTGGGGAATGGAAAG